TATTTTTTAGACTCGCAACTTCGAAAAACCACTTGCATTTCGCGAGTTTGCAAGTGCTAATTTCGAGCCCTGATATTGTAAGGAGAAGTTCTGTCTTGGTCACTCATGGGAGTTAATGGGTTAAGGTCACAACCTAACACAACAAAATGTACCAAAATATAAATATTTTACTATGTATATCAAACATAGTAAAATATAAAACAAGCTTAATTAAATAATGAGGTTGCCTTCTATTTTTATTCCATTTCAGCTCATTTAATTTCAAATTTTCTTTGTCTTAACCTTTTAACTCCTGTGAGTGACCAAGACAGAATTTCTCCTTACTATATCAATATAATATCATGCAGACAAGTGATGAGAATAAAGAAAAATATAAATTGTAAGATTACTATTTGATTTGATACCAAATTCTTCAAACTAACAAAATGAGAATCCTTTGGCAGAAAGTAAGGAGAATTACTTATGAGATCTTAGGAGTTATAGGGTTAATTATGTGGTTAATTGATCTTGTATTAAGTGACCAGCATAGGAGGCTTGTAATTCTAAAAGATTGAATTTTCCCTTAAATTCATGCCATGTGGCATTGAGGTTTAGTAAGTTTTTATTTTTTGGTTTTTGAAATTTTCTGTTCTGCAGGAGTAAATAGTTAATTCCAGCTTGAAGCAGTTTTTGTGATTTTCAATTCAGACTGTAGAACAAAAACAAGGAAACAAATTTGATACTTTTAAATATTTTTTAATATTTTGGGTTATACAATGGCAAGTGACACAGTTGTTGTTCATAGATGCAAATTTGGAGTGAGTCCAGTGAATGAGTTACTGGTAATCAAATTGGTGTGTCTGTGCAAAGTTTCTTGGAATTGCAGGGAGGCAAACATTGCAAGTTGCTTGTGGGAAATATCTGGTGAATGATAATATTTGACATCCCAAAAAACACCATTTTGGAGAAATCTTCTTTCCCTGATATCCGTCTGCAAACACAAGAATCTTATTATTGGTAACTCATTCATTTTAAAGCACACAACTTGACACTTATTTTATATTCTGCATTCTTCACTACATTAGAGGTAATAAAATGTTTGCAGCATTTGATTACCATGATTATAGCAAGATCTTTTTTCTCTATTGGAACTGGTTTTTGCAGGTTTGGACATCCAGCAAAATTAACCAAAAAAATTTGTTAAATGTTACATTGGGTTATAGATTATTAGAAAATTGTGAGTGTGTGCAGATAGTGAGTATCATTTCTATACTGCATGTGTGCAGTAGCATGCGAGTCCAAAATGAGTCATTTAGCTCTTTAACTCCCAGACCAAATTTGTAATTCTCCTTAATGTCAACCATACAATTCTTATATGTTAAGTTCAGAGAATTTAGTATTGGATCAACTAATTATCCCTAAATTTATATTTTTCTTTATTCTCATCACTTATCTGGTTGATATTGTATTGATATTCTTAGGAGAAATTCTGTCTTGGTCACTCAAGGGAGTTAAAGGGTTAACCACCATTTAGAATTTAAACTAAATGTATCCTCTACATGTATGCACATTGTGTAGTGCAGTGTATAATGGGAACTGATTTTTATTGAAACCTTGAGTTGAGACTACCACAAATGTTCTTCATGTACTGGTCTACAGTACATTTATAGCATTAACCTTTAACCCCTAAGAGCTACCAGAACCTAATTCTTCCAAACAATATCACCCCTGAACCAAACATTAGGCTGGCATGAATGAAGGAAATGATTACCAACTAAAGTAGCTCTTGATTGTTAAACAAATCCTCCTTGTATATAAATATATATAACAGCTAATAAATATATAATAAATAATAAATATATAATAATATATATATATATATATATATCAACTATATATATGAAATATATAGAGAACAGTGTGGAGAATACACATTTACTGATGTTAGGGTGTAAAGTGTTAAACATTCATGTAAATGTAAAATTGACAAAAATTATTTTTTCCAAGATTGATGTTTTTGTCTTTGGATAATTACAGTTCAGTCTTCAGGGGAAGCTAGTACCTCCATCATATCTACAGCTAGTAGTGGTTTTGCAACAGGATTTGGCATGACTCAAACTAATGCAGATGCTTTTGCAATCTCATCTGCAAATGTTTTTGTGCAAAGCTCTCAACCAGCATCATCTTTGTTTGGGCAATCACAGACCTCAAACCCTGTCTCCAGCTCAGGCTTTCAAAGTAACAATTCATTGGCTTTGGATTCATCATCAGCAAACACCAGCTCAAGTATTCTTTCTAATCTTGCTGCTTCTGTAAAGGAGCCATCATCTAACTTAACATTCAGTGGTTTTAAAAACTTAGGACCTTCTTCTTCAGCAGAAGTCTCATCAAGTAGTGTTTTTGGCACCAAAAGTGGAAGTGAAACAGTGAAAATCAGTGATTCAACTTCTTTAACTTTTGGAGCATTGGCTGCTCCATCTCTCCAGGTTAAATCTACTGCAGTCTCAAAACCTCTATTTGCAGTAGCATCTCCGGCCAAGTCAAATACATTTGGTGTGGCTGCTACAGTTAAACCACAGACAAGAATTTTTGGTCAGTCCTTAAATGCAGGAAAAGGGCAACAGCTGGCAAAGGAAAACAAGGAAAAAGTTACAGAAGATAAATTGCAAACTGTGGATATTTCCCTTCTGAAGACATTGGTAATCAGGGATATTCCTGAGTCTTACAACAAGAATGCATGGCTGAAGAGGTTCTATTCACAATTTGGAGTGGTTTCAAAGGTCCTGTGCACTGCAGTCAAGAGGAGTGCAACTGTGACATTTACAACTCATGTAAGTATGTGGTACAGTGTACACTTTATTTGTCATAAGGCAGTCGGCAAGAGCTGGTAGACAGTTAAATGGTT